AAGAATAAGAAGAAAGAAAGACAAAAAAAAAAAAAAAAAAAAGTTCAGCCTCTATGCCCTTTCTAATTATGGTCAGTCGCGAGAAGCGTTGGTTTCCACTTCTCTCTCTCTGGTCTTATTTCCCCTGTCTATCCGATAAGCCCTTTCTTTCTAGCTTATAGATGCAAGTAACGGAACCCCAATATCAAAGTCATCTCTGCTTAACCATTTCATCCCAACATCTATTCCTCGTCATCCGTGTCGGGAGGGTGAGGGGTACCCTTGGGAGTGTTCAGCCACTCGATATGGCGAAGTCTTCGTCGGACTTCTTGCTCCTTGAGTTCCTTCTTCGTCCTCTTCTTCTTCTTCTTGGCCTTGAATTGCAAAGGCGAGTTGTCTTCAGCTCCACTAGTTACGGTGCTGTTCACAACGCTGTTGACGGCACTGCTGGCCGCGGTGCTAGCGACGGTACTGTTGAGAGCGCTGGTAGGTCTGCTATCCTCGAAGCGGTCGGTCGAGATGGCAGCATTGCCCTTCATCGTCATCCGCCCGTCGTTGATGTGCCACTGCTCACTGGCGAGCGCGCCAACAAATTCCTCGTTGTGGGAAATCATCACGACACCACCCTTGAAGTCGCGGATGGCTACGGCAAGTCCACCGAGAGAGTCACGGTCCAAGAAGTTGGTAGGCTCGTCTAGAACAAGCAAGTGCGGGTTGTTCCACATGGCGCCCGCAATGACAACCTTGACCTTCTGGCCTCCCGAGAGACTGCCGATCTCATTGTGGTTAGCAATCTCGGGATCAAGACCAAGATCCTCGAAATGTTTCGAAATGACGGCGGGTTGAAGTTCACGGTATCCCAAGCCTTCTCGCGATGCCTCGTGGTCATCGAACTCTTGGACGAGTTTGTCGAATCCCCACTCTAGCAAGGTCTCTCGAGAAACCTGCGAGTTGAATTTGGGAAGCCAGCCTATCCACTTCCTATTGCATGTATTAGTGATAATTCTGGGAACAAGAATCAAGGGGCCACTCACACTTCGTATTGGAAGGTCTTCTTCCACTTTTGTCGACCCACGAGAACCTCAATTTGCCGGTCTCCCTTTCCATCGCCCAGGTCGATCTTCTTCTCCATTTGCTCTCGGTCCTTGTCCGAAAGGATTCGAGTTTGCTTCATGAACACCTCCCGGTCGTCGCCGTTAGCATAACGCCATTGAAGGTATTGATTAGGCGTCTTCTCAAGATGCATTTCCACGTGTTCTAGGGCATGCTGTTTAATGTAACCAATACGTAAATTAGGATGTTTTTCAACCCGACCAGATGTGGGAACAACCTCTCCGGTCAAGATCTTGATGAGAGTTGATTTACCCGCACCGTTGGGGCCAATAACAGCAACCCTGGAGGACAGGGTCAGTTGGCAACTAACGTCGCTCAGAGACGGTTTGGGCGCCCGCGGGTATTGGTATGAGGCCCCAGACATGCGGATGATAGCTCGGGTCTGGGACTTGACGCCCGACAATATACCGGGAGGAGGGAATTTAAATTGAACATTGGATGCAGAAAGTGTGTAGTAAGCCTTGGCCTCAGGGCGAACCTGCACGAATGCGTTGAGGTTACCCTTGAAATGACCAAGTTTCTTGCCCGGCTCGTAATGATAGATGTCGGTTGTAACGTTGTCTAAAAAGCCCGAGTCGTGAGACACGATCAAACTGGTGATATCGGTGTGAGTCTTCAAGTAGTTTTCCAACCATGCGATATTGGCAACGTCCAAGTGGTTGGTAGGTTCGTCGAGGAGTAGAACGTCAGCCCTTTGGAGCATAGCACGAGCTAAAGCCAACTTCATCTTCCAACCACCAGAGAGAGATCCAACCTTTTGTGACTGGCGGCCTTCCGGTCCGGCGGTGAAACCAAACTCTGCCAAAACCTCTGAAATCCTTTCACGGCCTTCCGAGGCAATTGTCGGGTCCTTGACCATGAATTCGAGAATGCTGATCTCCGCATCCTCACCCTGGTTGTGCTCTACGTAGCAAGTTCGAAGGACGTCCTGAGGGGGGAAGCCCTCTAGCTTGCCTCCAGCAATACTCTTCATTAGAGTGGACTTTCCAGCTCCGTTTCGGCCACAGAGACCATACCGGTGGCCCTTGAGGAGACGTAGGTTGGTATGAGACAGCAGAAGCATACCACCATAAGCAAGAGAGAAATCAGCGTTAACTATCTCAGTCTCTCCGTCATCTTCTCTCTCAGGCACACCGTATTTACGCTCGTCTTCGGCAATGTAGTGTTTGTGGACAGCAGATGCAACGGCGTCAGCAGCACCTGGCTGCAGCATCAAATCCTTTATGTAAGGACCAATCCTGGCAGGAATCCTACTGACCTGGCGGAAATTGGAGTCATCGGCCACCATCTCACAGATGTAGGGACGGGCCAATCGGTAGAATTCCGTGTCGCTCGTAGTTAATCCACCGTTCTTTTTGATCTCCGAGTCAAGAACCTTGGCTACATCATCGATAGAAGTGCGTTCGACCGCAGCAGCATCATTGCTCATGGCCTTATCCATAACATTCAAGGCTCTCGTAGCTAGCTCGCGGACTTCGGGAAGGGGCGCACGGTCCGCTACGGCTTTAACACCCGGCTGAAGCTTTGGGAGGAATATTCTTGCCTCGATGGGGTCGTGGACGAGTTTGGTCAAGTTTTCTGTGATGACGGTGGATTGTCGCAGAACTTCTTGAGTGGTACTGGGATTATTCAAGGTTCGCTCAAGAAACGGAGTCAAGAGCGCAAGGACTGGCGATGTAACGATGGCGACAAATGTGGTTTGTGAGAGAGCATGAATTGCCTTCTGGAGAGTTTGGGTGGAAGGGTGGTGTAGGGTGTCAATGAGTAAAGGAATTCGGGGAGCGACATCGTCGTTGGACAACAAAGTGGTCAGAGACTGCATAGTGAGAAGGGCTTGTTTCTCAACTTCAGTTTTCAGATCATGCATATTGTTTTCAGCGATTGGAATCAAAGTAGCGAGCTTCGAACCCATCGCATCACGGAGGAGATCCTTCTCCTGAGCTTGCTCTTTGGTGCAGCCAATCTCCATCTTAGCCTTATCGGCCATGCGCTGGAGCAGCTTGAGAGCGGCGACAGCACCCTGCCATTTACCAGTCTTCTTTGAGAGGTAAGATACGAGGGCCGGCAAGAGGCCAACCACGAGAGCCTCAGAACTGAGATGACCAAATAAAGCATCTATGCCGTACTGGGCAGCATCACGAACAACAGCTCCCTTGTCAGCTAAGGCATCCAGCGCAACAGGAAGTAAACCGCCGTCTTGTAATAGAAGAGTGACTTCACTGAGGGGCTGGCGAGAGGGAAATTTCTCGAAGATAGCACCCAAGAGGTTCTGAGCGCTTTCGCGTCGGAGACCGCTCTTCTTGTCGGCAGCGGCCTTCTTGACTTCGGCAAGTACACCATACTGGTGCAGCCCACGGAAGCCAACTGTGTTCAACAGAAGTTCGCAGAGCGCATAGGCAGCATCGATAGAAGCAGCGGATGACTGGGCGGTGAAAATGTTGTTGAGGATGGCGGAAACATCTTCTTTCGAAGGGGGCGGCGAGGCACCCGTGGATCGGCCCACCATTACCGGGGGCGCATCAGAGTGAGGCATTGTAGAGGGGAGATTGTCTTCAGGTCGAAGCTGAGGGAGAGGCGCAGGAGGCAGAGGCGGAAGAGGCGGAGGCGGAGGCGGTCGGTAGGCGGGGACTGTACAGACGATCAAAATGAATCAAGACAAAAGAACAAGATACAGAATACTAGGTAGGGGACACCCACGACGCCAGCAAGAGACGGGCGCAAGTGCGCAGTAGTCTCGAGGTGGGGAGTGGAAGATGGATAGCAGTCGTCGCCCAAGATGTCTGCAACTTTCTGCTAATTCAGGTGAGAGGGGAGAGGGTCTGTCGTGGTCAGTAGTGACCACGGAAAGAGAACACCAACGGTAGTTGTGCTTATCTCCCGCCTCGACCCCTCCAATTTTTTTCACTTTTCAAGATTTCGTTAAGCTCAGACCCCACTTCCAGCTGACCCGGCCAATGCGACGTACTGTGCAGGATCCTGTACCAAATACCAAGGATGACAGTGAATGACAAAAGAAATGAACACCTGCCAAGTGCTCCTGTTCGTACATGCACAGTATGGGCTAAAGTTGTCTCCGGTTGATACAGACCCTAGATAATTTCCGGTATCACCATGGACATTCAGGCACCAATTACAGCCATAAAAATACAGTGCAAAAGGCAATATTCGACTGTACCTCGACCAGTGAAGAGCCTTGATTTGTCTTGAAACTTTCGACGCCACGATCAAAGCGCACGAGTTCGACGAGCCAGCAGTATCTAGCGTTTTAATACTGTGTGCACTGATACGTCCAGTTACTGACTAATGCCCATTTTGTCGGCTCATGACGGGTATGATTGAGCCACGAATAGGCTGGTAGTTACTGGTATGAGGTTTTGAAAAGCAAGTTCAAACAAGACCGAACAGTCCTACAGAACGATTTATCCTTGATGCTTCTCTGCACATATATTCCTTTCCGAAAAGTCAATACACTGTCCGATGCACACAGGTACAAATCAGCCGCTCGCAAGTTGCCACACGACAAATACACGTGCGCCTATCAGCCTTATCAATGCGACTGATTGGTGGAGAGGGGCAACGTGCTAACCTTATTTCTCAGCTTACCGCTTTGCTCGGCCACCACTCATATCCCTCAAGAGTCAAGAGTCAAGACAGCTTTCATTTCATAACGCCCATGACAGATCTGGTGGCCGAGCAGTGCGGTAAGCTGAGCCACGGATTTATTAGCCACTGCGAAATGTACGGATTTTATGTGTGTAGATAAGAATATTCCGTGCGCCAGCAAATGCTACAAGCGTTGAGCTTCGAGATAGGTATCCTACAAAACAACATTGTTATTGTCGGTCTATTCTGTTTGTCCTTGGTACATACCCGCGAAGACACCTGTGTCAAACACATCAAGCAAGTACGCCCGCTTGGCTAAGTGGTATAGCGTGTCACTAGTACCGGACTTCCTCCTCAGTGTCATGACAAGATCAGCGGTTCGATTCCGCTAGTGGGCAGCTTTTATTTTTGAGTTTTGAGAGAATTTTTTTTTTTGGCTTTGCTTCGTTCTCTTATCGAAACACAAAGCGGAGGCAATTTCAAGTTTTCGCCTTTTTGTTCAGCTTATCTATTAGGTACTCGACCGTCCGGCTAGGTAGGTAGTCCTACTCGAAGTCTCGAACACACCGACAGGGTTATAGGCCTTTTAAAAACCCATCCGCATCCCAGTTTCTGTTCTCATTTGTCCGGACTCCTGGCTTCCGTACGGTTGCTGGAAAAACCGGCCTTGCCGATGCTGTGTGTGTACAACACAACCAGGTTGCGGGGTCTTGTTTTTGTTTACGCCAGCGGCCATGCCAATGCCCGACATGAACAATTACGTCTACTACTGCTAGTTACCGGTGTGATTTCTTGACATGTAGAATCCCCAAAAATCATTTCCACCGCGAAATGTCGGCGACGAAACTCGGAAACAGGAAGACAAATGCCAACAAAATCTCTCCTCGTTCGGCTGAACTCCCATGGCCACGCAACTTGCAAGTTGCAGCTCGCAGAACAGTAGTTTCACCAATTATCCAAGCAAGCCCTTAATGACACTATAATTGGCTGTGCGAGCTACGATGAAATGAAGTTGGCGGTACACTATGATCCTCAAAGCCACTTTGGGATAGTTCGAACCTAAGTAAGTAGAGCCTACATAGCATTTAGAGCCTTAGAGGAGGCTCATTAGCATTTCGAAGAGAACCCTCATGGATTAACTATAACTAAGGGATTATACTGAGGGTCGCTACTTACTTACTTACTACCTAGTACCTACTACTTATATAGGTAGGTCAGAAGCTAGGTGTGTGTCCCAATAACTAACCGCTAACGATAAATTTCAATCAACATGTTTCACGGCCCCCAACGATGTTGCAACTTGCCAGAGTCACAAACCAAAAAGCCTCCGAGTCTCCGACCATCTCTCGCTTACCCACGGCAATATGCAGTCGTAAGCGTCTTCTGTCGGCCGACGAATCAAAAACCGTTCGGGGACTCCATAATACCCAATTGGCCCGAATCGACTTCCGTTGATGATACTTAACGTTCCCCCGACCCGACAATTCGCTACCTTTGCCTTTTCTGACACTGTGATTCGTCCAGGATTCTTTTACGATTACTGAACTTCGGTGGTGCCGTCCGGCATTTTTGATACCAAGTGCATAGTGTGTACAACGTGTATGATTACTGTACTGCGTCCACCTGTCGACGTAAGTAGGTCGGTAGGTACAGTGGGTCACAGAAAGTGACGCTCGCTCAGACTTGTTGCAAAAAAGACCACCTTTAAAAATCACCACCACGCATCAAAATGAGTATATGTCACTCCTAAAAAATGGACACGCATTGAAGAATGGCCGGCAACTGCATTAATACTTTTTTCTAATTCACATCTATATTTTGCAAGCCTACATCGTGGTTTTTATTCGAGCCCAAAATTCGGCTTTGAAAAAACGAGCGTCACTTTCTGTGACCCACTGTAGGTAGGCAGTACCTACTTGAGCTAGGTATTATCTAGGAGTGGTAACTCAATCACTCAATGTCCTGTCCAGAGAACCATACCCGGACAATACCTGTTTGTAGGTAGTGTATCAGGGGACCGGGCCCCCAGCCGATACCTACTTATGAGCAGGTTGGGTGGACTCATTAAGTAAACCGGCAATACTTACGGCATACCGAACTGATGGCATTGGGGAGACAATTTAGCGACGTTTTAGTGAACGGTAAACTGATAGCCGCGTCATGATTCCGTTCAAGGTTGTAATGCTGATTGGCGACTTGGCCTTTAGTCTGTTGCGCCGTCTGTAACTTATGAGCCGCTCGTCCTAGCGCAGGTACGTTACCCACTGCCCGGGCAGAATGTTACCAGGGGCTCTCCGTTTTCCCCTCGAGTCTCATAATCTCATTGCCCAAAGGTGAACGTGGCCGGCCTATCTACTTATCTACTTATCTACCGCACAGAACCCCGGAATTTGGCGATTTGCCAAGACATAATCTCCATGGGGAATAAGTGGAAGGCTGGACGGACCAAGCCCTATCGTCAGTAACAAGACGCGAGACATACTTATGTAACTGGCATGGGGAGTACTGGCTAATAAGAAGCTCATAACGAATTGGGCGGAGCGTAAATGAAGATCCAAACACGGGGCTCTGGGGGAGGGGCGCGGGAATAGCCTACTTACATAGTAGGCTAGGATTGTTCTACCTGGGGGAGAGATATAATGGCTGCAAGCCCATCACCCACCTGTAGATTTAGGAATCGGTAGGGCTTTCGTGAAGGAGTTTTTTTATTGATTTTTTTTTTTTTTTTGAGGAATTCGGAAATATAGAGATGTTAACTAATCTTTAAATCTCATGCGCTCCTTGTCTCTCCTTATGCATGTAGAGAACTTCTTCCTGTGTGTCTGATCCCTTCATGTCAGGTGGTTTGCCTGGCACGTGGTATAGGTATGAAAGTTGTGGGCGTGATATGTACTATGATGCAAGAGCGTTTTTCTGTGGGATTACCTATTTACACGAGATTAATGTACCTACCTATCTAACCCTCGGACTTTCGGAGTGAGAAAGAATCGGTGTAAGTAGGGCGGGTGGAGGGACGGTTACCACGGTAGTATCCGTCCGCGGGTGTACGCTACTTACTTACTTATGAATTACAACTAGGTACGTGTATACTTATTTGCCAATCTCTACTTAAGTAGAGGTTGAAGAGTTGGGTGGACTCACACTTGCGTCGGTACTGTCGCCAACCGGCGGAGGAGGAATGCAGCGGGCATGCCCTCTCGTTGGGGCAGGTGTCTTGAATTCTTCGAACCACAGGTGACTTTCAAGTTTCAACCTTCATGTCTCGGCTAGCAACCCCTGTATGAAAACAGATTTAACAAGGACAGCGGCTAACACGCGACATTGCTGGAGAGAGGGCACTTCAAAGTTCAATCCTTCGTCTCTTTGGATTAAACCCCCTTGGTGACTAGCGACTCGCGAGTCGAAGAGCCGATAATTATCTAGTCCCTCGTTAGTTTGGCTACATACTTGGTAAGTATATACCTACCTGGGTACTCGTCCGGATCGGCTTCACTTTCTTTCCAAATTCCCTCACGACTACCTATTATAGCGTAGTATTTATCCTTGCCGTTGAAGAAGGCTAACCGCGTGCAGATGCAGAATACCCAAAAATGCGAGTCTAACATCGGAGCTCTCCGGATGAGAGAAATTCCCTACCGGTATTCTAGATAATTGATGCTTTACATGCGTAGTATCAATACCTACAGCACATTCGCGGTTCTACTATGTAGAGAATAAATATGAGGCACCTAGTTATTTCGTACGGTCAGCAGTCAAATTGGGTCTACAGTCTGTACCGGCTATACCTACCTAATATGAGTAAGGTTCGGTTTGACCACGGTCAAGCGCAAAACGGCTAAGAAATTCTACGACCATAGACGCGCAAGCGAGCCATGGAGCTATTAGTCGCCATTGGTAGTTATCTCTCTGGCCGGTAAGTATGTTCATACATACCTGAAGTAGTTAGTTTCTAGCGTACTTACTATGTATACATCGCTATGCACAACGTATGAGAGTTAGTTAGCTATGTATGCATATAACTAGGTAACTAACTAACCTGGGACGTTCATACCAACTTTAGGGATAATTAGGTAGGGCTAAGCCTCCTCGCGCATGAATAACGTTGAAGACATACGTCACACTACACACGCAAGTCGCAACAACTGCCAACAAGACTTTCCCAAACCCAGGTTCCAGAGAATGCTACTTATCTAGGCTTGCAGCGACACTAGTCAAGTCGAGATATGTATGTGTACTTGGTATGTAATGTACACCGGGCACATACAATACCCAAGTAGTGTAGTCTACGCTAACAGGTTTTCGGCGGATTAACAAGCTTTCAAGACATGTCTGAATACCTAGTAGCTCCCCGTTCCCTGCTTAGGTGTAAAATAGATACTTACAATGTTGAAACTGTACCTAGACTGATGAATGATGTCCTGTCGGTCTCGAAACAGGTATATTAATCACTTCCCGTTCATAACTGCTCTTCCGTAGGTTCAATCCTGACACACAGAATATGAGGGCGGCGTAGAGCACACGCCCGCTTAGAAATATTCCGAATTACTTTATATAAACCGTCAAGTCGTTTGAGGGGTTGTCTTTCGGACGTAACGAGTAACCGGTCGCTTTGGCAAAACACCGCATCCGATGTTTGTTGGTGGACACGCACAGTCTCGGGGACAGTTGAACAAACACTTGGGCATGCCTACTAAAATAGTTATTTACTAAGTATGAACTTACGCTACATGGATGTTATCTAGCGTTCTGGAACACGCCCATGCCGGTGCCGCTAGTCTTTGAATTAAGGTGTGTACCACGCTTCTCATGACCCCCACCTTATTCATGTCTTTACCGCGTGCCGTTTTGCTCGGCGACCATTCACATACCTACTTAGAATACGGTACAATGACAAAGAGGCCCTGATCAGGCAGCAGCAGGACAAAGACGTCAACGATTCGAGATTCGCCGGGGCTCGCCACTTGTGACGTTGTTGTTATTCGAATCATTATTACATAATTAATTATCCCGTACTTATTGCCTACATACGTGTGGTTACACGCAGATACCATCTTCTTATCAATCTAATCATACAGGGGGTCGCACTTGGAACTTACTTAAGTAATACTCAACTAGAGTCTACCAAGAACAAATCAGGACCGAGGGTGCGGTACCAGGTTAGGTTAGTGTCGGGTCCGTTGGCCCTAACGTGGACCGTGATTGTAACTGAAACCACTGCTCACGAGGCTAACTAGGTAACTCTTAGCGGACTTAAGTAGGCATTAAGCGTTCTACACTTAATTACGGCTAGCCTACGTGGGTGCCGCTACTCTATAGTACCGCGATTACGTATGCCTAGTCTACTACTTTGCTCATACTTGGGGGACGTTTTACCGTTGTTCACCCAAGCGAAAGAATC